GTTAAAAGAGATACTCTTACAAGTGTTTGTAGCCTCCCCCTACCCTAGAGCTGAGTAATAGTTATAAAATGAAAATTAATAGAATTCTGAGAGGCTACCGTGATCTGATAATCAAGAGTTGAACTGAGTTGTCTAGAAGTGGGATGATCTCCGTGGACTAAGGCGGAGAGATTTCTGGGATGGTGGCAATGGCATGGGAGAGAAACTTTAGAGCATATGGTTGGTAACCACTGAGACTGAGAAAAATGGGAACAAAGAATATAAAAGTGTTTCTGTGGATTGTGAATACACATATCTATGTGTTATAATTTCCAAGACATAATCACAGCTGTGATTATTTATATTCATTGTTGTTATTGAATTTGATTTTTAAAGAATATGCATTTGGAGGCCCTTCATGGATATTCCCATAAATAGGAAAACTAGGTTTTTATAAAACAGCAAATTCCAATAGAATGTTTTCCCTTATGTGAGCATGTTATTATATTCTTGGTTCTAAGAACAGGAAACATAGTTTTAGACTGATATTTTCTTTCTGAAGTTCTTTCCATCTGCCAGTAAGGCAAAGATTACATTTTATTTTTATTTTATTTTATTTTATTTTAAAGATTTTATTTATTTATTTGACACACAGAGAGAGAGCACACACAAGCAGGGGGAGCTGCAGAGGGAGAGGGAGAAGCCGACTCCCTGTTGAGCAGGGAGCCGGACAGACGAAGAGCTCTATTCCAGGACTCTGGGATCATGACCTGAGCCGAAGGCAGACATTTAACTGACTGAGCCACCCAGGCACCCCCAAAGATTGCATTTTAAATATATTTTTCCTGATTCATATACATTCCCTGCTATCTTTCCTGATAGGCTAGGCTTTTTGTCTTTACCATGTTCCTTTAAAGTGTTAAAGAGATCATCTCATATTTTAAGGGGTAACAGATATCCAACTGATCAGGCAGCCAGCCACCTACCCATCTAGCTATCTGCCCATTTCATTCACGTATCCATTTTTTCAGTGAACATTAATTGAATACATTACTGTGTACCAGGGGCTATGCTGGTGTAAGATATGTCATCATAAATATATTAAGGCATTTGCTTTAGTAGGAAAGATGGACCTATATGTAAATATAACACAGTGTGACAAGTGCAATATTAGAAATGTCCAGTATGAGAAGTAGTAAAGTGAAGGAACTGATTCACTCTTGAAGGATGTGGGGGTATGGAGAACTTAGTTGAGAATATGACTTCTGACCTGAGTTTTTAAAGTAAACAGGAGCTGGTAAAGTAAGCAAGGAGAGTACAGCAGCAGTCCAGGAGGAAGGAATCAGAGCAGAGGTTTCAAGACATATCCAAACTAATTTAAAAGAGTTTTTAAAAACTTTTAAATAAGAAAAATTATACCTTATGATAAGTAATATTAATATTTATGTAATGATTGACATTTGGTCAACTCTATGAATAATAATTTTAGCATTTTATATAAAATTAGCAAAATGGAAGAAAATTATTGTTTTAATTTGAAAATTAGCATCACTATATTTCATTCTGAAAATATTAATTTTTAAAATCATTACTAGAAGAGTCTTGTTGCTTGGTACTGGCGAGCCACAAATTTCTCCCTAGACTCTTCTCTTAGGATTATGTCCATTCTCTGGCTTAAGGTGAGTATCATTTCTTCTAAATGGCTTATAATTAGTGCTTAGCCTCAGCTCTGCCCTCCTTTTCTGAATAAGGCCTAGGGGTTAAACTTGTTTTCTTTCTCCCATTTCAAGACCTTGGCCAAGCCTGGTTGTTCATGGTCCTCGGGAGGGACATTGCTAGGAAATGGGCTCTTCTTTTATGCCCAGGACAGTGCTGTGCTGTGCAAATAGACACTATAGGAGATAATACCAACTGCCTTGCTAATAACTTTGAACTCTAAGGATTCTGCAAGTCTTCTCCTGGATAAAGCAACACTAGTTTATAATATAGGTGACTTTTTGCTTTAACTGCAAAAGCACGTTTTTTCCCCATTAGACTTGTCTTGTTTGGGACCAGAGGCTTGCTGAGATAAAACTGGGGAAAATAACAAACTTTAGTGAGCCGATCAGTTTTATATATGTGCGAACTCTCAGCACTACGTAATGTAAGGTAATAGCATGGTCTTAATGACTGTGCTTCAGAATGTGGTACGAAATCATTCATGGAGAGAAATATAAAAAAGATCTGTTAAAATGTTATGGACCTGAAGATGTGGAACACGAAGTGGAGCTAATGGAAGGAGATCAGAAATGTATTGAGTGAAAGAAAATTAAGGTCAGTTGTCTTTAAGCCGTACTCTGGAGTTGAAGTTTAAGGGGGAGGGAAGGGAAAATGTTGTTTTCTATAGTTGGAAGTCATAAAAGGAGAGGTAATGGTCTAGAATTAGGCGCATTCAGGTAAGGCAAGAAGTAATCACTGAGCAGGAAGGTACCTGAGTCATCCTAATTAGAACTGCTTAAAAATAGGACAACTAAAATGCTGGTGGGGTTAACCTTTATAATCATGATCCAGAGAGGAGGGGAATTAACCCCAAGACAAGTTCCAGTGCAGGCTTTTCCTTGAAGACCTACCTCCAGGTTGCAGCCTCCCTGTTTTTTTGTTTTTGTTTTTGTTTTCTCATTTTTGTTCTTCTCTGCTTATATCTCTGATTTTTCTATGGCATTTTTTATTTTCTGAAACTTGGGCAACCCAATTGTCTGTACCAAAATATACTCCCCCTTGTCTTTACAGATTTATCTAATAAATTATTTCTTGTAAAAATCATCTGTAATTGTTCTAGAATTCTCTGTGGCTTGAAGCTATTGCAATAAGTCCAAATTAATTCTACTTCTAAGTATCTGTGCTAATGGGTAATTTATCCAAGTTGGAGAGTTGTTAGTATATTTATGACGCCATCATCAGGAATTTAAGGACCTAGGTACCTTCACAGGAAGAAAAATACATAGAATCGCAGCCACAGTGGTCTTGAATTCAGAATAAAAGCCTTTGAAATCTGTGACTTTGGTTGTATGATGAATCAGGTATGAGAATATATATTAATTTGCATAACTATTTCTGGAAACACATATAAGGCAAATTGCTGTCAATGGATGCAAAGAAGCTAATGGCATAATCTAGTTTTTCAATTACTCTAAAAAATGTCAAGATCAGTCAGTTCTTTCCAACAGGTTGGAATGGCACTGATTTTGAGTTTCTTCCTTTTCTTTGAGCAGAATCTTTTTCTATTTGACTATTTCTGTAACTTTCTAAGAGAGAATATGCTGGGCCAAGAAGAAAAACAAATTGTTGATGGCTATGAAAGAATGGCTTGTTTTCAACCAGAGACTCAAATGAGATTTATAATATATTCCAATTACTTTTTGTTTCTCCCTATAGCATAGTAATACACAGTGGATTCACTTTGTGTTCATGTTCTTTCTCTCGTTCAATATCAGTGATATATACCTGAATTAGTGATCATGACAATTGTACAGATCATTTTCATTTGTCAGAACTTTATTCATTAGAATCTTTCTGCATTCCCTCTTCCCTGTGTTTCAATAAAATTCCTTGTAACATTATGCATGTGCTTATGTGTGTATATATGTGTAGGATGTGTACGCATAAACACACATACCACGCAACACCGAGAACCATTTCTCCCCCATATACCTGCTCCATCATTCTAATTTCTAATGCCTTTCTAATTTTATAGCTGTTGGTTATATGAAATTTTAAGCAACTTGAAAATATTTTTGAATCATTTTCTATTTCTTCTGCTATAAGAAACAAATATGGGTTTTATAATTAACCTAAATTCTGTGGGTTTTTATTTTTTTTAAAGATTTTATTTATTTATTTGACAGAGAGAGACACAGTGAGAGAAGGAACACAAGCAGGGGGAGTGGGAGAGGGAGAAGCAGGCTTCCCGCGGAGCAGGGAGCCCGATGCGGGGCTCGATGCGGGGCTCGATCCCGGGACCCCGGGATCGTGACCCGAGCCGAAGGCAGACGCTTAACAACTGAGCCACCCAGGCGCCCCTCTGTGGGTTTTTAAATATAATACTTATAGAAATCAATGCCTACTTATAATTTGGTACATTTGTGTGAATTCATCAAATGTTTAAGGAGTGCCTACTTTATGACAAGCACTGTACTGGGTGCTAGGGAGACAGTGGTGAATTCATCAGACAAGGTTCCTGCCTTCATGGAGGTTACAATCTGGTGAAAATGAGATTAATTAACCTTCCTAACCTTCAGTGTTCTCATATATAAAGTGAACATAATAATAATAATACCTGAATTTTTAGCATTGCTGTGAAGAGTGAGATAATGAATAAAAGGCTCTTACCATTGCCTCTGGTCCAGAGTGTAAATTATAATAAACTTGGTGGTGACTGTGACTAGGGAGAGGGCAGTGGGAATGGAGAGTAGAGAGTTTAAAATTCTTAGAAGACAGTATACATAGGACTCAGTGATTAGCTAGATGTAGGGGTGGAGGGTTGTGAAGGACTCAAGGGTTGCCAGTTTTAGCAAACTACAGAAAGCTCAGTTAAATTTAAATTTTCAATAATCATAAATTTTTAATATAAGCCAATAGCACAGACTTTCACGATAAACTCAGTTTATCAGAAATTTAAATTTAACTGTCTATCTTTTATTTTGTCTGGCTACCTTCCCAAAGATGTCACAGGGTTTAGGTTGAGCAGTTGAATAAATGGTGGTCCTATTTGCTGGAATGGAGATATTAGAGGAGGACTAGTTTTTTAGCGGAAAGATCATGAAGTAGATTTTGAACACACTGAATTTTAGTTGCCTGGGAGACACCCAGGTACTTTGGTTGTAACTGATACACTAGTGAAGAACAGCTATAACCACGTTTGTTTTGGGCATTGGGATGTGCCATGATAGTGTTCCGGTTTTGGTGTAATCAAAACCCTATCTTTTAAAGAAAAGCCTGGATGGGAAGTAATAACTAAACACTTTTCATTTCTTTATTTCCAGGTTTTTATATTTCTCCAGGCAATGCCCCTGGCTGCCTGCCATGTTCATGCCATGTAACAGGTGCAGTTCATCACATCTGTAATAGCCTAACTGGTCAGTGCATTTGCCAAGACGTTTCCATTGCTGGGCAAAGTTGTGACCATTGTAGAGACCTTTACTTTGGATTTGATCCTCAGACTGGAAGGTAAATATTTTTAATAATATTTAAATATTTGTATTGAATTACATTTGTTAATTACTTTATATCATAACAATGATTTTTTGTCAGTGTTTTATGTAAAAAGCAATATTTTTTGTCCTCCCTAGTTTGTTGATATATTTTTGACTCTTTGATGTCTGCATTTGTTGAACATAATAGTAATCTTTGTATATTTCCTAGAGTTCCAATGTATAGGTTGCTGAATGTTGATAGATGTCCCTAGTATTAAGGTCTGCAAATATTTAACTAGATAAAATCCTTTTCCCTCAAAGAACTTACAATTTGGTTAGAGAAAGACAGGTAAAGATATATCCATAAAAGTAAATGTGTGCACATGTACACACACACACACACACCATAAGGGCTGGGATATACAGCGTATGTATATAGAACCTTTATTCTACATGGTCCCTGAATTTATTTCTTATTTATTTGTTTACTGCATCCATTTATGTTGTCCTTGTCTTTCTAATTTACAATTAAAGACCAGTAGGAAAAAAAAGAGGAAAAAAAACCCCCAAAAATATAAAGGCCAGCAGATTAAAACATATTTTTTATAAGTGATATGATTTTTTTCCCTAGTGTGTAAAGTACATTTTTGAAAATAAATTACCCACTCTTCAAAGTTACACATCTTTAATGTTCTACTGCTTGTTCTCTGAATATCTGTGGACATTTATTTTCATGCATGTGTGCTCATTGTTGTATTTTTGAAAATGTGCTGGAATGCTAATTCCATGTGTGTTTTTGGGTCTGGTCAGATTATGTTTGTCTAGGGTTGGGACTATATCCATGAATTCTTTGGCATTCCTATCCCCAAGCAATAGTATTATGTTCTGTACACACCAATCAAAGCTGTTTCTCAATATGCGTGTGTGTGTTTATAAATATAATTGCTAATTAGTCAGGGTTTGAGATTATCTGGGCTCTTTTCAACTCATTGTCCCCTGCTGCCTGCCTTTTGGCTGTTACACTCTTCATTAACACCTCGATTAGAGTGTGGACAGGGTGACAGGGTAAATTATTGAAAAAGAACTCAAAATTAGTGTGTTTGGCTTTCTACTAAAATCCAATGTGATTTAAAATCTTTCACATGATATTTAAAATATGTATTAAAACAATTATTGTTCTTATTACATATCTTTTTGTTTTTTAATCCATGCTGTTCTGCTTCTGTTACCATTGGAAGGAATATCATCTTGGTGGTCTGAGAGTATTTCTACTCCTTTCTGCAGATAATAAATCACTCTGAATGAGTATAGAAAACATGTGGTAGAGCAAATGTTAAATAAAAGGTATTGCCAGGATTTTGATAGTAAAATTGGGGTCAGTTATTGTACATATTATCTCCTCTATGTACTTTTTATTGAAAGACCATCTAACAAATTCCCCAGTTGGAATTCTTAGTTTGGTTTGTTTCACTCCTGGCCACCTCTATCTTTAGGTTTCTTAAATTTTCCATAGTCTTTCTGACAACATTTAATTACCAGAGAAAAACATGCCCCCAATCTACTCTCCTCCTGGAAATACTCATCCCCATCTATGGTGTTTTGTTCCAGTCTCTTACCCATTTCCTTTCTACTGATCCCCCTCATTATTCTTCCCAGTGTTACCACTAAAACTCTTTATTAATGGCCAGAAGATTTCTAATGGTCTCAGCTTTTCCACTTAACTTTATTTAAATGAATCCGATTCCTTCATTACACTACTCATCTGTTCTCCAAAGTTCTTAGATTCAGGCTGACCTTTACCTTATTCTACTTCCCTCTAGTTTATCTACCCATCCCTAGTCCCCACCCGAGTCAAATTCAGGATCAAGAATATTTACAGAATAGTGTTCCATCACCTCTCACTCTGCAATAGGACTTGCTAACACTTGGGATTAGACTCCCTGGATTAAAAGCTGGGTTTAAATTTTAACCTAAATTGATGAGGAACGGGGAGAGCCAAAAAAAAAAAAAAAAAAGGTATAATCTACATTATTAGAATAAGGTGCTGAAGTGGAAATCAAGAAGCAGAGCTCAGTAAAATAAAAAGGGATGAGTGCAGGTTGGAGTCTAGGAGTAGCCAGAGTGTGAAAAGCCAGGTAGATTCTAAAGAGCAAAAGATCCAGGGTAAGTATGGGTTCAAAGCAAAAAGATTCATGACAAATTTTATATAAATATAACTTTATATCTTTATATATTAGCTGACTCCTGATTACAAGTCAGATTAGGAACTACCTTTTAAAAATCACAAATTGTGGGCACCTGGGTGACTCAGTCGTTAAGCGTCTGCCTTCAGCTCAGGTCATGATCCCAGGGTCCTGGGATCGAGTCCCACATCGGGCTCCCTGCTCAGTGGGAAGCCTGCTTCTCCCTCTCCCACTCCCCCTGCTTGTGTTCCTGCTCTCACTGTGTCTCTCTGTCAAATAAATAAATAAAATCTTTAAAAAAAAATAAAAATCACAAATTGTCCTCTGACATGATACCACTTTTCTTCCATCCTCACTGTACTTATCTTCAGATTTCCAAATTTCCATTCACTGAGAACTTTATCAGAGGGATGGTCTTTTTTCCCTCACCTCTCATTCATTTAATTCCCATTCCAGCAACCAATTCTCATGAACATAACCAGGGTTTTTTTGATCATGGAACTTCTTTTCTTCTCAAATCTTCCTAATCCCTGAAATGTTACTCTGTGAACACATCACATCTTTCCAGTCCTCTTGTCTCCAAATTCCCTCATAAATGGCTCCCAACTTTTCTCAAACCCCTCATCTTTTACCCCTACCTAATACTCTTGATCAGCCCCGTTCCTAACTTTCTCATCTTCTACTCCTAGTCTGGAGCAAAACCACCTTAATCCTGACTCCCTTCAGTAATCCGAGTGCTATTAAAACCTCTCCCTTCGGGCACCTGGGTGGCTCAGTTGGTTAAGCGACTGCCTTCAGCTCAGGTCATGATCCTGGAATCCGGGGATCGAGTCCCGCATCGGGCTCCCTGCTCAGCGGGGAGTCTGCTTCTCCCTCTCTTGCTCCCCCTTCTTGTGCACTCTCTCTCTCTCTCATCCTCTCTCTCAAATAAATAAAATCTTAAAAAAAAAAGACTATTAAAAAAAAAACAACCTCTCCCTTCTGTTGTACTGGGGGTCAGCTCCAGGGATGATGACCCTGCTCCTGCCCTGAACCTGGGAGGGCTTGAAGACATGTGTCTGTGCTGATTGGAAACACTGCCATGCATTTACTTGTCATCCCCTTGCTTTCTTTCCACCTTTAAACTCTTGCCAGTTTCTTCAAGTCCTTGTCCTTGCAGCTAATCTTGTCCTCTGCTTCATAGACTAAACAGAACCAGACATAATTATCTCCAGATTATCTTCTCTCCAGCTCCAATTTGTCTACATTGTCATGTGTTCCCAATTTTAAATCTAGTCTTAGAAGAAAACAACATATAATTTTTAATGACATATTGCCTGTTCTGGATGTGTCCCCTCCTGTTTTTCTCCCTTTGCTCCCCTCTCTGTGTCCCCTTTACATTTCCTTCTTCCTCTGAACTTTGTTGCATCAAATACTCCCCTTATTTTAACTTAAATCTTTCTCCACTGGCTATATCATAACTATCTACAAATATGATCTTCATCCCCATCCTAAAGCCTCTTCTTTTGCCTCTGCCCTGCGCTGTGAGCCCTGGAAGTTGAGTCTCCTCTCTCACTATTCAATCTTACTTACTAATATTTACAAAGAGTAGTCTTTTTTTTTCCTGCATTTACCTTACTTCTCGTGAATTCCTCAGTCACCATATTTAGTGCAAGTGTTAGCAGAACTTACAAAGTGTGGGCAGCCAAGAACTAGTTAGATGACTCTTAAAACACTCATCCAAATCAAAGAAAGGAAGATAGCCAGAAAAAGTACATAAAAATGGGTTAAGGAAAAGATAAGCTTAGAGAGAGGGGTTTCACTGGAGAGAGAGAGCAGGGGTCAGTGGTGCCTCTCAGTGAGAGGGTTTTACTAGATGCCTTGCAAGGTGATAGGTGTCTCCTGAAGTTGAGGAGACCAGTGGACTGATATATTTCTTAGACCTGGAAAATCTATACAAGGAGAGACAATCTGTCAGGGCAGTGAAAGAGAGTGCTTTGATGATTTTATACTCCCAGAGTTTTTCAGGCAAAGGAAAGAGTGTATTTGTCATGACTAGATAAGGTCTACAAGGAAGAGGGACAACATGGGGTTGGTTATCTTAGCACTTGTACAAAGGGCCACCCGGAAGGTTAAAGAGGCCCAAATAGAGAAGAAGATGAGATTCTGGTGAGCTACAAAATTAGTTAGCAACCAGTTGGAATAGAGATACATCTGATTTCTCTAAAATTATAGGTGAGAGATACCTAGTAGAGGGAGAGAGATCAATGAAGAAATCACAAGAGTAACACTCCAGTGAAGAGTCAGCTTTGTACACTCTGGGACCAGAGAAAGCAGCCTGCTTTGGGTTTTGGTGGGAACTCCTGCCCCTCCTACGGCCCATGCATGAGAGAAGAAGAGAGTAATAAAAAAAGCAGTAATAAAACTCTACCTTTTCTGGTTGTAGACTTGCTGCTTTCATCATGTCCTAGCTAGAAAAAAGGGGAGAAGTCTGTTCTTTAAAATATCTATTCTTTGAATAGATGGGAGTATTGACTAATATACTGTACTACACATTTTATTGTCTGAATTTAGCCTATTTTCTTCCTGTCAGCTTTATTTAGGTATAATTGACATATATATATATATATATATATATATATATATATATACTCAAAAGATCAGGGAAAGATAAGCGTAAAATTGATTTATGATTGCTTCTTATGACTTCTGGTTTTTCAATGTATCAATTATTTTATTGTCCTCCCTATTTCTTAAAATTAGCTCTTTCTTTGGCCTCCAAGATCCTATCTCTCTGATTTGTCTTCTTTTCTTGGTTATTCCTCTTTAATCTGCCCCAAGAGGCCCAATTTACATATCTGTGTTTATGATT